AAAAAAAAACTAAAAGATCACACAGAAAAAAAGTTGAATAAAATGCGCGTAGTTAAAGCAAAATTTATGTTTCGAATGGATAATTTTGCTGTTGAAAGAAAAAAAACGCGTCTAATAATAGGCAAAACGATCCGAGCGTAAACTTTTGCTTTAATAGCATTTCGCCAGCTGTTCCAAATAAACGTATTAAAGTCGAAATCAATTAATTTCATAATAACAGGAATAAATGTATGACATAGGCCGACACGCCTCCGGTGGGCCAAAAATGACAAAGGGCGGGAAGATGGAAAAGGAGCAGCAGAAGCACCAGAAGGAGGAGCAGGCATAGGAGATGGAGAATGATGATGATGAGACCATCCCCCAACACCCGCTCTATAACGATAGCGTGCCGGCATTCCATTGCGCAAACACTGCCATGTGATATGACAGGGCCCGCTACCACCTGGCCCTGCCCTGCCCTGCCCTGCCCTGGCCTGGCCCATCCCCGTACCACCCACCCTCGGCTGTTTGGCTTTTTGGAAAGGTGTGCAAGATGATATCCATAGTCGCCCAAACGTCCACTCGCCACTGGTATCTATGTACCCAACTAACACGCCCATTGGGAAATATATTATACTCCGTAACAGAAGACTCACCACACGCAACAATCTACCAAAAAGATCCCAAATGAACACCAAATGAACGCGCACTGGGAAAAACAAGCGTTCCTAAATTTTATATAAATGAAAATTAAGGAAAATTTGATTAAAAATTAAACAAAAATTGCAAAAATTCAAGTATTCTTTTAAGTATAGAATTCTCCCCTTTTGTCAAACATTTTTTCCAGATGAAAACAAAGTGAAAGAATTTAATTAAGAGTCCTACACTTGTCGCTTTAGGATGGAGAATTTTTGAAGAATTATAAGAACGTCCTGGCTATAAAATAGTATGTAGAAACCTGTACCAAAAAGACTCATAGGCCAAAGCCACTCTCTATCCTCACCTGTCATCTGTTTACTATACAAATCAACGAGCCAAAGAGTCTTGGGAAAGTCCAGCTAAAGATACGGTTGTTATTCTCACATTTAACGGTGATACCATCTCCATTCTACATAATCTTGTCTTGGATTGAATAACAAATTTCTCTTTTCCCAGTCATCTTTCGAGACATCTCTTTCCATTCATCAAACTTGTTTGCAGCCGGGAGCATTTCTTTCCCTCAGTGGAGGAGGCGCCGAAGAATCATCGCTAAACAAAATTTCAAGTGGGTCTGGCTCTGGGGGCGCCTTTCATCATTTGAAGCAATTTATTCGCAAATGGCCGTAGCAATGAAAACTAATAATGCAATTAAACAGTTGACAAAGTTGTCAGCGAGATGTCAGATGTCTAGCTAGCAGTAAGCAGTAAGCCTTACCGTACCAGTCGACGGATTGACAATTGTCGCCACCCGTTTTGGCCGTACTTAGCTCGTGGCAAGTGCAAGGCATTTGAGTTGATTTTAAAACGCAAATAAGCCTCTCCAAATGCAAATACATAGCCGCAGCAGCACCTATATACACACACACCACATCTCTATCTGCCTGTGGCATATAGTATATGGAATGGTATGGCATTTGGAAAGCCACAAAAGTAGTGGGGGGGCACCGATAGGGGACAGACTGCTGCTGCTGCTGCAGCTACTGCTTCGGGTTTCACAGTGTCAAAAAAAAAAAACACAAGCTGCAACAAAAAACTGCAGAAAAAATGTAAGAGGATGAAAGATTTTACAGCAGTTAGTCGCAGATTTAGATGCACTTTTTCCAGATCTGATATGGAGTGTAGAAAATATTCAAATTTTCAGAAGGGAACGATTTTTCGAATCCCTTGGATTCCCCTTTAAAGACCATAAAATATGCCATTGATTTGTCAGCTTTCAGCCCTCACATTGATACCCTCTGAAAGAGTATTTTGAACAAAAAGAAGTGCCAACAGAAGCCGCTTTAAGATGATATTTGGGGTTGGAATAATGACTTGATGACTCAGTTCTAGTTTTTATTCAACAGCCCAAAAAGCAGGAAGCAAAAGGCAAAGCAACAAAAAACAAATCAACCAAACGGTCGGGCCATAAAGATTAATATCAAAACAGGAATCCATTATAATTATAATTTTGCCACCTTCTCGCAGGCACTTAAACAACACGCAAGAAATGTTTTAATAATTAATTAAACATTTTTTGCCATGCCTTTTCTTTGAGTGTACGCGAAATGGAAAGTCAAAATGCAACAAAGTTGGGGGGGAGCACAAAAGGCACAGCAAGGAGACAGCAAGATGATGATGCACCAAGAGGCTGGATTCGAAATGACTCAGAAGCCATGGGGGAAATTCTAAAAGATGGATGGAGATGTCTCATCTAGAATCGAACGATCCGGGAAGGGAAACTTTTGCTCAAGCTAATGAAACGATTATGTTGGCTCTGGGCTTTGGCTGAGGCTGTGACTTTTGGCTTATTATTTGTATAATTATGAACGACTTATACATAGTACGCTCGTGTGAGTACGGGATTTGGCTTTTGGTTCGGTCTGTGGAGATTCTTGTTGCCTTTTGCTGCGGAGTGGAGTGGCTGCTCTGCTGCGGGATGATCTCATCGATTGCATCAGATTTCGCACGGCATGTCGTTTTATGTGGCGCGGCAATTTTTCGTTCTCATTTTCGTTCTTTTTCGCTTGGGATACCCTTACTGTGGAAAGGGTCTTATAGCTGCTGGCAGCCACAGGGAAAAAACTTTAAAGGCAACTTTGGATTTGATTTTTACAGTTTCTGTATAAGAATCTAACGAATCGAAGCACCAAATCATTACTACAACTCGGAAAGAGTGAACATAGAAATGATCATGGTGAATGCCACAGCAGAATTTTTTTTCTCTGAGCGTAAAAATCGCAGTTAGCCTTCAAACTGCAAAGGGCATCTAAAATTCGTCACTTTTGAGTAATATTTTCTGCATTTGTTATGTGTTGTGTTTTTTGCTAATGTGCAAACAGCATATGCAGAACATAACCAAATTAGCTGTTGGCACGCCACAAAAACCAACCAACGGAATTAGCATTCAAAGCTGGAGGATTTTAGGGCTGGCCAAGGAAAAACATCATCATTAAAAAAGAAGTAAGCCTATGACATCGATCTGTAATACATATTTGAATGATATAAACAGCAATTATGGGGTTTAATAGAGGTAATTGTAGAGCTTCAAACGCAAGCTGCAATACAAACAATTTATAAGTTCATCCGTTTCTGCATCTGCAAATGTTTTTCCTTAACCTATAATACCCTGTGGCAAGGGTATCCAAACTTTATTCCTCCGCAGCGCATTAGCTTCATGGTCAATGCCATTAAATTCGCTTGCATTAGACGCTTGACTGACAATCGTTGACAGCCCCAGACATAAGTATATATACAATATATATATACATATGTATGTATACTCCCGCACAGGTACTCCTTGGCATGTGCAACCAATTGATTGATCTACAAACAAACTTGTTGCCGACTGTGGCGAATCAATCAATTGACAAAAAATAAAGAAAGAAAGAAAAAGAAAAGGAAAAAAATCAAACCCTCCACTGATTGCTGTGAGTGGAGTTGTCTCTTAATTTGTTTCGGTTTTCGGTGCCCCAAAAGCCTCGCTTGACATCTCTCTCTCTCTCTCTCTCTGTGTCTCTGTCTCTATATCACATTCCTGGGGCGTTGTCTGGTGACAGCTTTTGTCTGGTCTGAATCCAGATCTTGGCTTTAAATAAGTATAAGCTAATTTGCATTTGAATCTGTAACCGTAACCGTTCAACAACTATTAAGCCGTGTATATATCATGTTCTCTCTCGCAAAATGCAAAATGCTAATGCCCAACATCGACTTAATACCAGTTTACAGATCACTCGATTACGGACATTCCATTCCTGACAGGCTACTAGGGGGCGAGTACTATGTACTATAGTGAGGCTCCACATTACATTGACCTCTCATTAAGGCACTGGCTTTGCATTTTAAAATTTGTTTGTCTTTTGTTATTGCTGCAAAGTGTCTTTCTGTTTTCTTTTAATTATTTGCATTTCAAGTGTCTGTAAGTGACGTCAGCATCAAATGGGAATGCAAATCAGAAGAAGAAAATGATTGGAATTCTAATGTGGAATATGTGGAAATTTTAAGCTTGAATTCTGAAAGAATTTAATTGTAAATTGCAGCTAAAATCAAATCAAATCTTACACAAAATTTAAGATTACTTTTTGGCGAGTGCCAAAGGAATGTCTAAAAATATTATTAGTTTATACACACGCTCTCTCTCTTCCATTTATAAACTCTTAGAACTCAAGAGCTGATAGAACAGCAACGATTATGGCTCTTGCCAAATGATATCTTATCAGTGTGGGGTACGGTACCCTACGTGTAGGCCATGGCCAGCGGCAGAATTCGATTAGTCAGAGCTAAGAAAAGCAATGGACTGAACCAAAAATCAAAGCACAGTCTGGAGTCTAGACGGAAATGAATGCCGGCCAAGGTAGGCAAGGGCCAAGACAAGGCAAGGAGTGGGTGATGCAGTAACGGAAATCATAATGTATGTAGAACACTCAGGTGAGGAGGAGGCACTGCTACTGGCTATGGTAGCATTACGACAGAGGTCGGTAGAAAAAGAGTGATGACAGCTATATTTATTTGGACGGCACATTGATGTGTTGTGTTCGACGGATCGAGTACATATATTTTATTGTACATTGCACAAAACAAACAAACGGGGCAACGGTTTAAAAAGTAAATGTACAAATCCATATAGTCCGAACAGAGCAGAGCCCCCCTCCGCCCACCAAAAAATGTTTATATTCTTTTGAAAGGCATCCAATCCATACACACACATACATATGTACATATGTATGCCAAGAATAAAGCGTAACACACATTTGGGGTCGATTAATGGAAATATACACACAGGATGTTCTGGATGGGTTGTATATCCCTTGTATACCTCTCCCACTCTGGTGCCCCTGGTCACTCACCTTCTCGGCAAATTCCTCACGCGGACGTCGGGAAATTGTCGGTGTGGCACCACTCACGAGCTCCTTGGTCGGCGATGGTGTCATATTTAACAATTTTCCTCCTTCTGTCGATTGCTTGCGGTCTGTTCTAATTACACACTTTCCTTCGTATATTGCTTTTGGTTACACTCTTCACTTTCTTTTTGCCTTAAACTACGCGTAGATTATTTATTGTGCTGCCTTTGGCGGTGCTGCGGAACATATTCAATTAAATTTATAACGACAATTTTGTTTTGTTATCAGCTGGCGAATATTTTCCCAATGCTGGTTACTCTGTTTTCTCTTGTTTTTGTTTTCTATAAACAAATTATTGCGTAGCCATTGAAATATGTCGCTGGCGTGAAACGTTTTTCGATTTATACTTCACTTCACTCTGGCAAATACACTTGCAGCGGGACAGGGACAGGGAGGAGGAGGAGGGTGCTATGATAGCGATCAGAAGTATTGGTGGAATGATTATAGCTGTCAGAGGAAGGTTCCTTGCTAAGGATTCTATTTGATTATAATTTATGCTTGGGCTGCTCACATTCACAGATTGTAAAACTCTTTAACTTTATCCAAATCGAATCTCTTTATCCTTTTTAGCTTTTACTTCCACGATAATCGGACAACTTTATTTTACAGCTGCCTCCTACAATTTGCAAAGGGTATTGCAATCTTCGGTGCACCCGCAGTCTGTTTTTGTCTTTCTCCACTTTGTTGCTTTTTGTTTTTTTATTAATTGCCGGTAGAGTGTTTTGCATTGGTATTGGTGTGTGGTGTGGACTACATATAAGTGTAGGTGTTTGCTGTTCTGCCACTGCTCTGCTACCATTACCGTTACAATTTTCAAATTGTTAAAAACAACGGGGCAACGGATCATATGTTATGGAATGTGTTCATTGGCTATTTATAGCAGCAAACGTCACGAAAGGTGAGAGCCGGTGGCCCCAAATAGGCAAATATTACGGCAACCGGAACGACAGACAAAACCATTTTGTTCTTTTTGCTCCGCTGCTGCTGCTGCTTCTGCTACTGTCTCTCCTTCTCCCTTTGCCAGTGCTGCTGATTCTGCTGCTTCTGCTCTCCAGCGTTGATTGAACCGCCCCCTGGACTGCAAAGAGTCAACGAAGCAGAGCCGCCAAATCCCCAAGCCGGCCGGCTAAATGCCGCCAATTAATTTGGTGGAACTCTCTTGTGTGGTGTGTGCGTGTGCGTGTGTTGCGGCACGACGACCTTCACAGATCGCAATTCTAATTGGAATTCAATTGGGAGGGCAGCATAATAATTATGACCTGCAGCATGCCGCACAAGGGCCTTCGTCGACGTCATCGGCAGTGGCAGCAGCAGCAGCAAGCAACAGTTTGTTGAAGGAGGCACACACACACACACATAGAGACACTTAAACACGGACAAACACACACATGCAATGGTCGGCACACACGCACACCGGTTAAACGTGTTATCGGCGCGCATGCAAGAAAAGAACTCAAAAACCAAACTCTAGGCCGGCCACGAAACAAGTTCTGGAGCGGCACAGGCACAGGCACAGCACACGGCATGGCATGGCATGGACAACACAGCAGCAGCAACAGCAGCAGCACCACCACGAAGCCACCAACAACCAACAAGCACCCCAGCAGCACCCAGCAGCAATGCCACTACTCAAGTGTTTTATTTTGATGTGTGGCCAGGCAGCAGCTCAGCTAGCAATTGTTGGTTTTTCGTTTAATTTTAGTTTTTCAGGGAAACCCTAAGCACTGGGACACACTAGAAACTGGCCAGAGGCTTCCACTTGAGTCTTGAGCGGTGCCGAGACCGAGCCCTGAGCACCGCTTGGGCAGACGGACGCTTACTTTGAATTAAAAACCAACGAAAGTAAATCAACAACACAAAAACGAAACGAAAGCACAAACACGGAGAGAGACACGCCGACGACGCGCGCGGTCCAAAAATGAATTCAAGCAAGTGGGGCAGTAACGGCAGCTGCCAAAGTTGGAGCAGGTTTCATGCCGGACAGCTTTTGATCGAGTGTAATATCTATCGAAGAACTGCCAGCAGCTGTTTGCTCGCGGTCGATTCAAAATACAATTTATATACAAAAACTAATCACTTTTGGCACTAACCACATAGTATATAGATGTACCGGTTCATACAAACAAACGGTTGCAGTGAAATTTGCGTCGAGAACACCCAAACACTTCGGCCTGGTAATCTCTATCGAAGAACTGCCACCACCAAGGAAACAGCTGTTTTCTCGCGGTTGAATAAAAAAAATATATAAATACAAAACTGGTCACAGTTTTGGTTAGTAAAATCAACGCTAGGCGGTGACTGCTTTGATTTATTACAATTGGCACTAATACATAGGTAAAAGGGAGGGCTCTAGGCCCTGGCAACACCGTTCTCCACTGTGCTTATCTGCGACTGCAGCTCCTGTATGTGCAGCTCAAACTTTTGGATGTCGCCGGTGATCTGCTGCAGGCTGGTGAGGACATTCTTCAGCTTCTCCCCGTCGATTTGCACCTCCAGCTCGCGGATTTGCTTGGTGACATTCCCCGTCAGGGCAACGCACTCGACCAGCTCGCTGCAGTTGGCATGGAGCTGGGCCAGCAGCTTGTACGCCTTCTTTGCATGCAGATCGTGCTTGGCGCTCTGGAAGAGCAGGTCATCGGTGTAGTTAAACTGGCGCTGCAGTTGAGCACCAACCACATTCAGCTGCTTCTGCAGCTGTCGCGTGTCGTCGAGCACCTTGAAGATGTCCGCCCGCTGCTTGCGAATGTTGCCGATGAACTCGTGGATGCGACGCGTGTACTCCTTGCGGGGTGCCAGCGACTGGGTGGCCGTGCGAAGGGCCGTATTCAGTTCGTTGTGCTGTTGCGTCTTCTCCTTAAGCTCCAGCTCCAACTGCTCAATCCCATTGCGAATACTCTGGACGTGCTGTGCCTCCTTGGCCGTTTTCAGGGTCTCCAGGGTGTCCAGCAAGGGCCGACGATAGTCCTGCCACTGCTGTGTCAGTGTGTGACGCTTGGCTTCGGTGGCCTGCAGCAGGGCTTCCAGTTTGGTCACATTCTGCTCTGCATCGGCCAGCACCAGGCAGGTGCGCTCGTGCAGCTTCAGCTGGGGCTGAATGTCCGCCAGCTCCTTGGTGGCTTCGCTCTCCCGCTGCTTCAGTGCTCCTATTCTAGCCGCGTGAGCCTTGCGCTCGCCCAGCAGTGTCTCGCACTGGGAGCGAAGCTTCTGTACCTCGTCCGTCAGCTCCTCCAGGGGCGTCATCTCTGCGGCACTCGCCGCCGCTGGCTTCTCTGTGGCCAGAACCAATGGAATGACGGGATCTTCGCTGCCCAGAAGCAGCAGTCCCGAGTCGGTCAAGCCATGGCCCCAGCGCTCCAGATCGTTCTTGTGCAGCACCGACGCAATGAGATCGTAGGAGCTGGACGCCGTCTGCTGGAAGAGATTGGGCGCCTGCTGGTCAAAGTACTGCTGCACTTCCTTGGTCCGCTCCTCCGCATTGGCCGATGGCACATTGAGATTCAACTTTGGCCGAAAATCTATGCACAAGCTGCTACATCCATGCGATTTCCTGTTGCCCACCGCACGACAGAACTGCGGCACCCAGAGGGCCGTCAGCTGGGCCGTCAGCTTCTTGCGTATCTGGCGCTGTAGCATTTCCCTGCCACTCAGCGGGTGCGACTTCCCTGCCAGGTCATCAGCCGCCTGGCGCTCACGCGGCAGCTGCTCGATCAGGAACATCAGCAAGCGCCGCAGCTCGATGGGATTGGGGTATAGGAATGTCTGGTAGCCAATGTCGCCATGGTAGCCGCTCTCCTTGCACCTCTCGGCCAGGGCAGTGGCCACGCTGAACCGTTGAGCCATCGCACCGCCGGGCAGACTACGCGGAACCTCCAACGCTGGACGGATTTCTAACAGGCAGCTGGAGACAGCGCGCACCACCAATTCCGGCGTGAAACTGGCCAGCTCGTCCGTGGGCTCTATGCCGGCGTCCACCTGGTGCAGCTGGTGCATTATTATCTTGTCCACTTCGTCCATAGCTCGTTTATTTCTTTGTTATTTTGTCATTTTAATTAATTCTTGTGTGACGATAACGATAAAAATACCATCCATCCAGACAATCCGTCGATCAAACGAGACTTAACCCACTAAACCCCCTCTATTTAAAATGTTGAGCACCCTTTGTTAAACCTCGGAAAACAAAACTGTTTGTAAAGGCTCCTTGTAGCTCCATCCTCCTCTTTACTTACAAAACAAAAATGACCACCGATATCTTTCACCTGTAATGCGTAGAATATGTTAAAGTTGCATAAATTTCGTGGAAATATTAAGTACCCCCCCTGGTCGACAGAGGGCTAACGTTATATTTGATTGATTGAAATCGTATTCCATGATTTTGATATTAAGTTTAATATTACTAGCTAGTTAGCCCTCTCAGCCCCAAACAAATAATTTTATCCGATAGATACAGCAATTTTCTACAAGATTGGCTAGTTTTCAGAAGTCCTTTTTATTGCATTGTTTACATAAAAAAGTTCAAACAAAAACGGCCAAAGCATAAAACGTAAATGTTGACTAAATGCGACGTCATTGTTGCTGGTCAACCGGGTGCAAGCGGGACAACTATATGAGCATCGGCTTCCAGGCAACGGTTGCCATTTGAATGTATATTTTGAAAAATTAACAATCTCTGAGCCGGCTGTCAAAGCGGCTTATGGCCAAACAATAAGCAAACAAATATTCAAACTAGAACTGTTCGTTGGTAAAATATATTTTATTTTACGATACAGTATGGAGCCACCCGAGCAGTGCCAGCAGCTAAAGCCGCGTGCAATTTTCGGTATTAACGGTAAGGTGGAGAATGGCGTGCGTCAGCATCCGAATTCGAGCGACATTATATTCGCATTGGGCAACAAAATCGGCATTGCCGATCACAAAAAGAACACGCAAGAGTTCATGCCGGGCCACAGCAACACCATATCGTGCCTGGATGTTAGCAAGAGCGGCAAGTACTTGGCCTCGGGCCAGATAAATCACATGGGCTTCCGCGGGTACGTCATCATTTGGGACTTTCATCAGCGCAAGGAGATTGCGCGTCACGACCTGCACAAGGTGAAGGTCCAGGCAATATGCTTCACGGCCGAGGATCGATTTGTGGTATCCATCGGCGGCGTGGATGATGGCTCGGTGATTGTCTATGACATGGAATCATTGTAAGTGAATGAGGGGGGCTTGGTGCGCGTCTAGGGATATGACTACCTGTTTCCGATTTGCAGCTCCCCAATTTGCCGTCAGCCAGCTTCGCGTGCCATCTCGGGGAATGCTCTGAGTGTTCGTCCCATGCACAATAATCCCTTCTTCTTTTTGACCGCTGGCGATCGCCATCTGCGCCTATGGAGCATTCTGCGCGAGCAGAAGAAACTGTACGTCCAGGACGTGCACATGGCCAGCAAAACGCGCGTCTTCTACTGCGCCCGCATCAACAAGAAGGACGAGATCGCCTACCTGGGCACCGGCACCGGCGATATAGTGAAGATTACGCTGAATTGCTGTGACCGCGACCATGTCAGCAAGCCGGGCACCACCAGCGGCATCTTGGGTGCCTTTGGCACACACAATGCCCGCAAGCCCTCGGGCAGGGACTGCAATCGGTATGTGAACGGGGTCCGAGCCCTGTATATCGTGAACGATGGACGCCTGCTCATCGGTGCCGGCAACGGCGATGTGGAGCTGGTGGAGGAGCGCACCGATGTGCCGCTCATCAATTTTCGTGACTATCCGGGACCCACCTGGCCATATCTGCGCGTACTCAAAACGACACGCGTTTCGGGGCGCATCTCATCGTTCGTCCGCTCCACCCAGGATTTGGTTTACATTTGCACCGACACCAACGAGATCTACGGCCTGACCATTACCACGTGGAAGCTCAAGCTGCTGCGCACATGCCACACCAAGTCCGTCTACTGCATCACATTCCCCAAGTGAGTTCAAGGGAGAGTTCACCACCCTCCCCCCCCAAAGGATTGTGTCTTAATTGCGTGTCTCGTTGCAGGGCCTATGCCGCCGTCTTTGCCACCTCGGGCAAGGAATGCATTCGGATTTGGTCGTCGGGCCGCAAGCAGGAGCTGCTCCGCATCATGGTCTACAATTTCAACTGCGCCGCTGTGCGCTTCACCCACGATGGCACCAGCATTGTCTCGGTGTGGAACGATGGCATCATACGCGCCTTTACGCCCATCACCGGGCGACTCATCTACGCCATTCCCAATGCACACAACAAGGGTAAGCGCTGCCACCTGCCACCTACTGCATCACCATTTTGATCCACTCCTCCATTGCAGGCTGCAGTGCCCTGGCAGTGTCCTCCACGGGTCGCCTCATTGTCACCGGCGGCATTGAGGGACAGGTGCGTGTGTGGAAGATTGATCCGTATCGCCAGTCGCTGCTGGGCGTGCTCAAGGACCACTCGGGTCCCATCACATCGCTGGACATTAATCATCTGGGCACAGAGGTCATCTCGGCCTGCACCGACGGCTCCTGTGTCATCTGGGACCTCAAGTGAGTGCCACCTAGTGATACCTCAATTCCTCCAATGATCTGTGCCCTTGTGCCTTTGGCAGCCGCATGACCCGCAAGCAGGTGGTCACTGCCAACACACAATTCATGTGCGCCGCATATTTCCCCACTGGAGTGCAGGTGCTCACCTGCGGCTCGGACGGCAGGATCATCTACTGGATGGTGTACAATGGAGCTATGATACGCGAGCTGACCGCCTCGAAGAAGTCGTCGGTCAACTGCATCTCGATGAACGATACCGGCGACTACTTCATAAGCGTCGGCAGTGATCTCCAGGTGAAGCTCTGGGACTACAACAAGGGCGACGTGGTGGGCGTTGGTTCCGAGCACGCTTCGTCCGTGATCAGTGCCGCGTACAGTCCCTGCCTGAAGATGTTCGTCACCGGCAGCACTGACGGCTCGCTCATCATTTGGGACGTGCCCAGCGAATTCTGGGGCAGACCAAATCCCCCAGATGCCCCAGCCTACTCGCTGCCGAAAACGGCTTCGAAGGGCAAACTCAACGACGTCGCTTCACGCGTGGACTCCGGCTCCAAGGTACAGGCTAAGGGCGAGAATATCGATGGTCTGCTAAAGGCTACGCCCAAGGACGACATCTGCTGTGTCGAGTGTCCGCCCTGCGCCCAGAAGGAGAAGAAGGCTTCCGATCCCTTTGCCGAGTGCAAGATTGTCCCCGATGTGAGGAAATGTTGAGCGTTCATTATTTAGTTTAAGTTATCAATCTGCAATGTGCAATGCAAAAATAAATTCAGTCGTTCTCTGAGTTTTGAGTTGTTTGATCTGCGCGGGAAAAACCGATGACTTGAGGTTGTTACCGCCAACTATCGTTCCAACTATCGAGAGCTCATACTATAGCGCAAAAATGAGTCGGGAGAGTGTTTTGAGTGCTCTCTTTCGACCCACGGTGAGTTATGTGGTAAGGTGGGTTTTTTCCTTGAAAGCTCTCGATTTTGTGCCGTTTTCCTCACACCTTTACTTTTATCAGCATTTAAAAGTTTCCCAAATAACCTCAAATAAGTCGTTGATATGTAGCAATTGTAGTTACCGTGTAGTTAACATGTACAAAAAGGGAAATTTTTTAGTCGTCAAAAACATCGTAGCAACATCTGCCAATCAAATTTAGTTTACTTTGCAGTTGTTTCATTCCCATTTATCGCGCTCCAAGCTCCAAAAGAGCTCCAGCGAGCTTTATTCCCCGAACCGACCGCACCACCCGCGACACAACAACACAACGCAGCGCCACAAAGTTTTGATAATACGCACGAGACGGACGTACGTTCATTGGCAATTAGCAAAAAGAAAAAAATAAATCACGGCAAAATGAAGGTTTGCTGTATTGGGGCTGGCTATGTGGGCGGTCCGACATGTGCGGTAATGGCACTCAAGTGTCCCGATATTGTTATAACCCTTGTGGACAAAAGTTCGGAGCGCATTGCACAGTGGAACTCGGATAAATTGCCCATTTACGAGGTTAGTGTTAAGTTTAATGTGTGTGGATTTTTGTTGTTTCCTCTCCCCTCTCCGCTTCTTCCTGTTTCTTGTATCTACATAGCGGTGTGTGTGCGTGTGTATTAGTGTGTGGTTTATTCATCGCGCCCCTGGTCTGGCCTTGTAGCTGCAAATGCTGGAGGGGGGGTAATTTGTATGGCCTAATCCTAAACAAACAATTCATCAATCAGAGAACTCACCACGAGATCCATCGAGAAAAAGAGACGTGCGTTGACCGCGCATTCCGCTCATGCTCAAGTGGGTCTGCCTCCCCTGCCCTACCCTCCAAAAACCAGTTGCCAGCCAGGCAGGCAGCCTCTCCATTTGAATGGATAGATGGGAGATGGTATGGCCAGTGCGTGTCTGGCATTGAGCATTGGAGCATTGGACACACACTCCATCGTACAGGTGCTTTGGCTTGGCGCACTTGGGGCCCCCAACAACAAGGTCAATGGTCAGCGAGCGGCGGCACAAGTGTGTTCTCCACGACATTAGTCATGTCATGCACAAATGTGGTTCGGGCGGGGGTAAGGGAAAATGATTCGCCAAATGATTGCAGCAGAAAACGAGCGTGGGAATCGATTTTACGCAGAACACAACAGAATCTGCTGCCCAGTAAATTTCTCTCAGTCTCTTCCCCCACTCTACCAATGAAGCCATAAACGTTGTAAGCTGCTCAAAGTATATATTTATTTAAATTCCATGGGTTGTCCCCAATTCGAGAGACACATAGTCACTCGGTTTACTGTCGCATTTCCGCCCTGTCGGCTTCCGTCTGCCCCTATTCCCCATTCCCTATTCGCCAAGAGCTCTTAGCTTCTTATCTGTTCTGTTGGGTCTACCAAAGCAAAAAGTCTCTTGCCCAGCGAGTGGCTAGATAAGCACGAGTACGGCACGGCAATTGCTGCTATCTCGGGGTTTGTTCTGTGGAAATATATATAAATTAGTTGGGAAATTACTCCACGCTTATCGCGAATCTTTAGAGAGGGGACAACAGCATGAATACCCAAAACAATGAGTAGAAACGTCAACGTTTAGGACGGTGTCCGTCAAGGTCCGTTTATATTTGTTTGTTTTTTTTTTATTGGTATTCACTTAACGTGGACTTGCATCACCATCAGCGGCAACGTCATCAGCATCTCAACCGGTGGCAGTGCATTGGCTCGTATCAAAGCGGCCTTGTGTCAACCAGCAGCCCATCGATCCCCATCCTCTTCCTTTTTTTTTTTTGTAATTTCTTTTTTGCATTTGCACAATTGGTTCGTTTGTTTGTTTGTTTCATTGTTTCATCATTTCCCCACTCTAATGGAACACGTGTATTCTCTTCGTTTCCCCACTTTGCTAATTTTGCAACAACATTGCAAAAAAAACAAAAAAGATGCAGAACTTATCAGAGAAGATAAGAGAAATTTCTACATTTCCTTACCACAACAGCCACTGTCCAACAAAATTCGGGGCAGAAGTTTTCGTTGCATATATTCCCAAATAAAATAAAGCATTTATTAACACCAGCTCTTCCCCCAGATATCTGGTATCTGAAATGTATCACCCAGCACCCCCTCTGCCAGCCTGCCGAGTTCAATGAACATTCAGCGGAACGAGAACAAAAAATGGAATTAAATCTGGTTTCAAAATGCTGAATGAAAGGCGGGGGGATTGCATAAGCTGGCGGAGAGATCTCATTGAGGCAAGACTCAGTTTCAGTTTCAGTTTATTATTAAATGAATCGCTGAAAATGCTGCAAGGCACGTAAACACAACGAGATAACTTAATTGAAGCTATGAAATGAATTGGTTGTGTTGTATTAGGTTACCTCCTGTGAGACGCAACAATAATTGGATAAGGTACTACCACGTACACACACAACAGACACAACGCGAATATAACGCGAGTATAGAAAGCAGGTTTAATCTTATCTACAGCCAAATGTGGAACGTCACCAATAGAAGCGACGGCGGGCGCAGATCGTGACTGGGGATTATAAGCCAGAGAACTGGGGCACACACACACACACACATTGAATGACATTTCTCTTTCTATATTGTAACCCCACAGCCAGGTCTGGATGAGGTCGTTAAAAAGTGCCGCAATGTGAATCTCTTCTTCTCCACGGACATCGAAACGGCCATCAAGGAGGCGGACCTCATCTTCATATCGGTGAACACGCCCACGAAAACGTGCGGCAATGGCAAGGGTAATGCATCAGTCACTCAATCATCCCTGCCTCAATTATTGACCATCTCTAACACTCGTTTTTCTTTTTGTTTGCTTGTATGCTCCATGTGCAGGACGTGCAGCGGATCTGAAGTATGTGGAGAGTGCAGCGCGAATGATTGCCGAAATAGCGCAATCGAACAAGGTTGTGGTGGAGAAGAGCACGGTGCCGGTGAGGGCGGCGGAGAGCATTATGCATATACTCAGGGCGAACCAGAAGCCGGGCATCCACTATGACATACTGTCCAATCCGGAATTCCTGGCGGAGGGCACGGCCATCAATGATCTGCTGAATGCCGATCGGGTGCTGATCGGTGGCGAGGAGACGCCCGAGGGCCATGAGGCGGTGGCCAAGCTGTCGTGGATCTACGAGCACTGGATACCCAAGCAGAACATTCTCACAACGAACACCTGGAGCAGCGAACTGTCCAAGCTGGCGGCGAATGCCTTCCTCGCGCAGCGCATCTCCAGCATCAATTCGCTGTCGGCGGTGTGCGAGGCCACCGGCGCAGACGTCTCGGAGGTGGCTCGGGCCGTCGGCCTGGACTCGCGCATTGGCTCCAAGTTCCTGCAGGCGTCGGTGGGATTCGGCGGCAGCTGCTTCCAGAAGGACATACTGAACTTGATCTACATTTGCGAGAATCTGAATCTGCCGGAGGTGGCGACCTACTGGCAGCAGGTGATCGACATGAATGACTACCAGAAGCGTCGCTTCTCGCAGAAGATCATCGAGAGCCTGTTCAACACGGTGTCGGACAAGCGAATTGCCATTTTGGGCTTTGCCTTCAAGAAGAACACGGGCGATACGCGCGAAACGGCGGCCATAACCGTGTGCCAGACGCTGCTGGAGGAGGGCGCCAAGCTGGACATCTACGATCCCAAGGTGGAGCCCGAGCAGATCATCGACGATCTGACGCATCCCAGCGTCACGGAATCCCCGGAGAACGTCAAGAAGGCGGTGCAAATCCACAGCGACCCATACAGCGCTGTGCGGGCCACACACGCCCTCGTCATCTGCACCGAATGGGATGAGTTTGTGGACTTGGACTTCCAGCGCATCTACCAGTCGATGATGAAGCCGGCCTATATCTTTGACGGGCGCAAGATTCTCGATCACGAGCGACTGCACCAGATCGGCTTTCACGTCCAGACCATTGGCAAGAAGTATCAGCGGTCCGGCCTGCTACGCTCCTGGGGCATTGTGCCGCAGCTGTAGAGACGAACTGTTGGCGGGGACAGTGGCATTTACACTTAAAGTTTCTCCAGTATTTACGCGACTAATTTGTAAATATCCCGCAACCGTAACCGTAACCGTAACCCTATCCGTATCCGTATTTGTATTTGTATCTAGATTCGTGTGTGTGTTTTTTATATAGTTAAAGTATTCAAGCTAGGCACGCCCAAAGGACAGGGCGTTTAGCACTCCTTTGAACCGTATTTGTATTCCTATTACCGCGTCGATACCCCCGCCCCCCCTCACACGAGGATCGACTCGACAGTTGCAATATTAAACCTTACAGCATAAGCACATACTGTATATGGCTCATTAAAAACGCAAAGCATTTACACGAGAGCATGTAAATTTTATAAAAATAATAACAACAAAAATGTGTGTTTGCATTCGTTCCGCTTAGAAGGCCAGTCGCTTGACGATCTGGCGGTACCACAGGAAGGAGGTGGCCGCCGACAGGCTGAACCAGGTGACCAAATACGACATGTGATCGTTGCGCAGTGTCACGCGCGTCTGGCCACCAATGGGTCCGTTGCGCATAGCCTGCGGATCGTAGACGGCATCCAGAAACACTGCGGCAGCGCCAGTGGAGGCGCACATGCGTGGCAAGTCGCGGTACAGATACATATTGGCGTTCTTGTGGTCGGGCGTGAACTGTGGACGCGACTCCCCCTGACGCACCACAGCCGTGAGCTCCACCTCTGCTTGTTGCTGGGCCTGGGCGCGTGTTTCCGGATCCACATGCTTGCGGGACACCCAGCCGCGATTAATCAGCACAATGTCACTGCCAAGAGAGGTTCACAGGTCACGTAACGGTGTGGGGGTATGCGCTGACAGCAACTTACTCTCTGTCGGACAACTGAAAGGGGGTCACAACCAGGTAGCCATTGCCAGCGTCACGCTGCGAGAATAGGCCGCCCTGTGTCTCCACACCATCGGGGCGTATGAGCGAACGGGGTCCCATGCGCATCTCCTTGTCGTGCAGGAAACGTCCACGCACCTTCACCAGGCGATATTCCATGTGTGACAAATCATTTAAACTAAAAAGCAATGTAATTTTATAACAGGAAACACTTGGTTGAGGTATAGAGGGAGGTGGTATACTTTTCGGGCAGATCTACTGCTGCCATGCTTAGCTGGTCGTGCAAATCCTTAATTAGTTGCTCCTTCCAGATCTTGCGCTTTACCTGCCAGCAGCCCAGGCCGAATGTGGTGGCGGGTATGAGCTGGCAAATAGAAATTGAATTGGTTCAAATATTAATCACTTAAAGACTGAAAATGTCACCCCACCACCCACCAGCAGGAACCAGCCAAGAGCTGTGATTTTGTCTTTATCCTTGGGCTCCGCTCGAATGCTTGTGGTCCACTCTGCCGGCGAACGCTGTTGTGTCATCTTTCTGGTGACCGTTTGCAAGGCATTTCTGCTGCTGGGCAACCGCGACAGTGCCCAGGCACCTTGCCGGCACATTTGTGTACTCATACGCAGCATATCTCGCCTATTTGATTGTTTTAACTTATATTTATTTACAATTTACAAGAAATTCCACATTTAACCAGCACAGCTGCTAACCAGTGCTGCCATTTTAGCTGATTTCAGGCTATATTTAGCTTTTTTTTTAAATAGCTTGTATTAGCTGTTTAGCATTTGTTTGAAATAACGATTGTATTAATGGTATAATAAGATCACTAAATTATATTTTTGGGGGTGTATTTAGTTCTAGTCACTAACCATACAGTATGGAGTCCTAGTTTATTGTTCAGCTTTTTTACTGTTGGCTATAGCCATTTTTTTGTATTCTCATTTTCCGAAAGTTGGCAGCACCGTTTGAACAGCTGTTTGTGGCTGTTGTCGCGTGCCATTAATATTTTTGTATAGACGAATTTGTTTTAATACATTTTAGAGTATATTTAAATATGCAGTGCACTCGGGCAGTTGCAAGGCTGGCCACCGGCTTATCCAGAATCCACTTGGTAAGCCAAAAAATGTGAAACCAACTTATTTATTCATAAAACATTAATTTCAATGCACTGCCGTGCAAGTCTTATATAAACTCGGTAATAAGTTGCGTTTCTTGTTGCTCCGCAGGTAGGACAGCCGACTGCAGCTCTCTCGCTGGTATATGCTCAGGCCCCCTGCCGCCTGTGCTCATCCGCCAGAGTCGTGGACAGCGCCGCGGATAAGACAAAGCCGACAACGACACCAGAAGCACCGGCAGACGATGGCATTCTCAAGCGAGTGCTGAACAAAGTGGGCTTCACGCCCAACACAAAGGCGGTAAGTGGCGCCACTGAATTATGGACCTGTAACTACGGATTTCTCCTTGTACCCGGCAGCGCCTCAAGGTGACCAGTCATCTGCTGTACGAGAGCGTGGCGGATAAGATCAATTATGTGGCGTTCTTTCGGGACTTCAGTCTGCCGAACACGTTCAACTCGTGGTTCCTGGTCACAGAGCTGCACGTCTGGCTGCTCCTGATGCGCTCCATGGCCGAGGGCTCGGAGACGGGCGAGGATGGACGCTTCCTGCGCAACTGCATCGTGGAGGCAATGTGGGGAGATGTGAATACCCGTGCCAAGAAGTTGGGGGTGAGTGGAAGTGGCGCACAATATCTGCTGTTATCTCTGCTAATTGATCGTTGATCCTTTCCAGGCGCATAATCCCTCCCGGACAAGGCAACAAATCGAGACGCTGTCGGAGCAATTTCAAGCCGCACTCATTGCCTACGACGAGGGCATCATGTCGGACGATCGCGTGCTGGCCGGCGCCCTGTGGCGACGATTCTTCGAGATGAACTGCGACGACTATGCGCAGATTGAGCGACTCGTTAAGTACGTGCGCCAGCAGGCCGTCATGCTGGACAGCTTGCCCCGGGAACAGTTCATCACAAAGCCCAAGGTGGCCTGGCTGGATCTGGACAAATGCAAGGTGTAATTTTAGTGTTTTCTGTTTGTTTTCTTTCTTTTTTTTTGATATAGTTGAGAGTGTGTAGCAAGCTTATAAACTAAATAACCAAATCATCCACGGGCTGATTGTGCAATGCGCGGAGCTGACACTTCAGAAGAAAGGCCATGATCCGCCGCTCAGCGCGCTGGCGCTGCGGCTCCTTGAGCTGCTCGAGTACTTCGTCCATTTTGAGGAAATAGCTGCTTGGGCAAATGGGGGCGACTTTCCTCTCAGTGCTGCTGGTGGGCGGATTCTGCTCCTCCATATCTTCATAGATGATTTCATCGCCGGCCTCCCCTTCCTCAATAATCTCTTCGATTATGAACGCATTTTCGAGCTGCATGCCGCTGCCATCTTTGTACTCCTCCCACTCGACTATTGGCGCATCATTGGCTTGCGTGGACATCGGATCGTCTGGCGATGGTGTGGCCATGGCCTCTGCAGTGGCCTTGGCCTTGCTCCTCGCGCTGCTCGGTCGGATATTTGCCAGAAAGCTCAGGCGTTCAAGGTACGGCCAACTGGAGCCCTTGGTGTCCGCCCGCCGGAATTCCTTGCGAAACTGGTAGTGCAGATTATTCCAGCGCATCAGGCAAAAGTCAACTGTTGAGTGTGAGTGGGCTTTAATGAAGGCTTTCAGTGGGACATTTTTGCACTTACCATCGCAGCCCATGATCTTTGCTATTTGCGCCCAAATCTCCGTTTTGGCCTTCATGACATCGTAGTTCGAGAGACCCGAGCGCTTGTAAAGCACCGACTGGGGCTCAACGAGATCAATTAGTTTAAAATCGAAGGGTCGATGCTTCTTGTAGCTAGTCCGCATTCTAAACATATATGTACGTGCGTTTCTGTTTGTTGTTTACATTTCTTGCAACCCGACAAAGATTGTTGTTGCTGTTGGGTCAAAGGCAGGAGCACTGGAAAGTTAATAGTATACGATGAATGAACAGTAAGTACAAGCCAATCTTGTAGAAAATTTATTGATGATTCGGTTAAAATTATTTGTTTAGCGCTGTGAGGGCTAACTAGCCAGTAATATTAAACCGAACATCAAAATCGAGGAATATCAACGAATTTTGTCAGTATATGTACGGTATATTCTGGGGTATTTTTGGGCTCACAATTGAAACGCAAGAACGAGTCGGGAGAGCGTTTTGAGTGCTCTCTTTCGACCCATGGTGAGCTATGTGGTAAGGTGGGTTTTCTCCTTGAAAGCTCTGGATTTTTTGAAGTTTTCTTGGTCAAACATACCTTTACTTTTTTCAGCATTTCAAAGTTCTCTTGAAGCTTTCTTCCTTAAGAGGAAGAAGCAAAACGGGGATATGATGAAATTTTTGACATCCATGCAATGATCGATTTTATAAATTGTTTTTATTCATTCATTGTTACTTAGGTTTCAAAGCAGCTTAAGCTGCTGTATTCCAATTGGAGTACAGAAGCTTAACAATATTGCAAGGAAATATCCCAATTGGGTATACAAAGTGTCATACATACGTTGATATGTAGCAAGTGTGTAGATACGGTGTAGTTAAAGGGACATTTTTGTTGGCCTTCTTTGTAGAAACCTTATTTTATAGACAATCCCATAACAAGAAGTCATTAAAATAAGCCAGATTTCAGAAAATTGATTCATCTATCTGATAAAATGAAATGTTTAGTCGTTTAGGTCCTAAATAGCTAGTAATACTAAATCGAATATCAAAATTGATGAATATGATTTTCCTCTGTATATTTACGGTATATTTTGATAATGGCAAGGTATATTTCGGTATATTTCCGAGGGTCAGAAGGTATATTTCAGCGATAAGCCCGCGGTCACACTAGAACCAAAAACGCCGCGAACCACGAAGCAACGGAGCTGTGCCGAATTTTTTTCTGAATTCAGAAAAGTCCGTTGAATCTATATATTTGATATATTTGCAAAAAAAAATTCAAATCAAATATATATATATCATGAAACAACGGAAGCCGCGCGCGTCGTATCGTCGAAGTTTTAATTAAAAGTTGTGTCCGGAGCGCGAAAAAGGATTTGTGTTTACGCAAAAATAGTTAAATATCGCAACAAGGTAATGGAAATTCCTCCCTTTAATAATCCCCCCCAAACAAGTGTAGAGATGTAATTCAAAGCAGCGCGCAAAGACTAATACAAAAAGTGCCGGAAAAATGATGTACAAAAATATGTAATAAGAAGAATAAAGGAAAACGCATTTAAAGTACGAGACGCCGACGCTTACATTCTCATCTTTTGCATATGCGGCTGAGTGTGAGTTTGCGGGTGTGTGTGCGTGTGTGTGTGTGTGATAGTGGGAATAGCAAAAATCCTGGACGCCACTCCTTTTGCGCAAATAAATTTAATAAAAAAGGAAAGAGGAAAGAGGAGAAAAAGGTGGCTTGCGGCTGCTGTATAATAGAGCGAGAGAGAGAACTAAAACGAAGCTGCGCCGGAGTCGAAAGAACAGAACACATAAAGTAATACGCAAAAAACACATACAAACAAAAACAATAAGCAGGAAGAGGAAGGAGAAGGAGGAGAAGGAGAGTGGTGCAACACCAATCTTATTGTTGATTTTTAAGCAGAAATATGATAAAAATAAATTGCAGGCAAAAGCCGACGACGCCGCCGCCGCCGACCCAGCACTCGGGTAGCGGCATTTTTGTGCACCAAAGCGGCTGAGGTGTGCAAGCAGAAAGGGGGTGGCATATGTACATATATGTGTGCATGTTCGTGTGTGTTGTCTGTCCCTGTCCCTGTTCCCCGCAATGCGCAGAAGCGAAGCTGTAAAACACCGAAATTCTAATTTGCAATATTTCACTCTTTAACCAACCAAAAAAAAAAGGCCAACCAACAGCTGGCCAAGATCCCGAAACACCTGGCAAACCTGACCACAAGCGCACTTAACAGTTAAACGGCACTCCATCTGGCATTGGCTCCTTTTTATGGCTTTTAATAACTCGCAAAAACGAAAACTGGTTTCGGTGCAAGGCTTTTGGAGGCCCTTCTGTGTGTGTGTGTGTGTGTAGGTGCAAGTGAGCAGGAAATACCATGGCAAAGAACCGTTGCTGATCGGTAAACTGCAGCGAAAGAGAACGTAGATCGGGTTAGCACAAGGTGTATGAATTGAGGGTAAGGTATTCCCGATCTTAGATTTTTTTTTTTACACCTTATTTTTCCACTCTCCGGCTGGTTTCCTGCAGCTAAAATGTGATTTTTATGCGAGGCAAATCTGCCATCGTCGCACCCTAATATTACTATACCTTGGGCGAGCACAGAAAAGTGCAAAGAAATCAAGCAAAACAAGAGGCAAATGACTTTTATTATACCCGTACTCAAAAAAGAGTTAAGGGGTATATTAGATTTGTGGTAAAAGTGGATGTGTGTAACGCAGAGAAGGAAAATTTTCCGACCCCATAAAGTATATATATTCTTGATCAGCATCAATAGCCGAGTCGATATAGCTATGTCTGTCTGTCCGTCTGTCTGTCTGTCTGTCTGTCTGTCTGTCTGTCTCGATGAGCGCCTAGATCTCAGAGACTATAAGAGCTAGGGCAACCAAATTTGGTTTCCAGACTCATGTGATATCCCACTGCTACAAGTGTATTTCAAAATTTCGCCCCGCCCCCTTCCGCCCCCACAAAGAACGAAAATCTGTGGCAGGCACATTTTTAAAGATACGATAAAACTAAAAACGCAGTATCGTAGAGAATGACCATATCTACCAGACTGCCGAATCTGAATCAGATCGGATCATAATTATAGCCAGAATGAAGAAATTAATTTTCAGTTGCTTCACCTCCCCCTCCCGCGCTCGACAACACAACTCATTTTCCTTCTCGCTCGCACACTCTGCAGCGTTCAGTGCGCGAGCAACCCCTAGCGGAGGAGATGTAGAATATGAATGGAACATGTACAATCTACATGTTAGATGTAGAATAGACATTGTATATGTAGATAGCAGATGTAGCAAAAAAAAGTGAAATGTAAAATTTTTTTTTTCTAAAATTCTAAAAAATCATAAGCTCAATAATGTATATACTGACTGAGTACGGGTATAAGTAGAGTCGTGTCTCCAGAAACGACTCACACGTTCCTTCTCGTTTTTCTTTGCTGTTGTCTTAGGTTCTGTATGTGCGAGTGGGTTCGTTCTCTGTGATAACTCGGTATCGTTGCTGTTGCTGTTGTTGTTGCTATTGCCCGTCTGGGTTTCTCATTTATCGCTACTTTTTATCCGTAATTGTTTTGCAATGGCCGCCATTTATGCAAATATGCAAAAATCTCCCCCCCTCTCCGCTCATCATTCGATGCCATTTGTACTATTTCCTCAATAAAAAAAATATTGCTGGCAACTCTGTTTTCATTGCTCTACGGAGGCCACACAACACATTGTTCTTGTTCTTTTGCTGTTCTTTTATTGCTGCCTTCGTCTCCTTCTTTTGTTGCTTCTCTTGGATAACATTTCACCCGGCTCTCACCCTCTCTGGTGTGTGGGACGCGTCGCGTGCGCTTGAGCTTCTTCTCATTTGTTTATTTTTAGTTGCGGAATTTCTGGTTACAAAAGCGGTATATTATTTCAATGGCTTTACTCTGCTGCTCCTCTTACGCCACCACCTCCTCCTGCTGTTTCACCCTCTTTCAATGACTTTACTCTGTTTTTGTTCTCCTGCTGCTGCTACAGCTCCTTGTTTTCCATCTCCTCCTCCTGCTGCTGCCCCCTTCTCCATCCTCACCTCCCTCTCAATCTGCTGCTGCCTTCTTCCTTGTCTTGCAGAAACAGTTGCATTTGCGCTTAAAGTCAGAGAGTGAGGGAGAGCGATTTGGGGGGTGTGGGGTGAGTGCAAGTGTGGACTGATATCCAAGAAAGGAAGCCAGATGAAGGGGATTAGAGGGTAGAGTGCAGGGGCGAGTGGTAGTCAAATGGAGCTGGCGGATATTAGTGTTTTCTTTTGCATATGGGGGATCGATCTATTCTTCTCCCACCCATTTTCATGGCCAGATGAGTGTAATCCTGATTTCTTGCAGGAGCAGGTGAAAAGGAAGGAGTAAAAGGATGGATTTTGGTTGTTCCATATGGATGATGCCTCTGAAAATTGAAAAAGACAGAGCTAGAGGGACTCATTCTCCTTCTTTGGTTTCTGTCTCCTTTATTTTATGACTTTTTTCCTCTGTTTATTTATCGTTTGTTCCCTTAAAACTTGGAATTTGTAGATGCCTGCACACAATAATCCCATCGCATCGTTAATTTGCCCGCCGACTTTAAAACTCGTAAAATCCACTCAACATTTGTCTCGCGTTTAATTCCAACATAAAACTTTCGCCCCCGCTCGCTTCATTTACATAACATTAATTAGTCAAATGCGCACACATACACACACTCTAACACACACTCACAAATTATTGAGCAAATTATTCTTAATTAACGAAAACACATAAAATCGAATCCTATTCGGTTGACAGATTGAACATTTAAATGCGTTAATTTCCGAGCAATATCTCGACTTTATATGCTAATAGCTTTTATGCCCATTTTTATGCGCTGCGCCTTGGATTTATTGTTTCACATTTTTCGCATTATTTATGGAAAAGCTTGTGCAATGCAGTGCGGCGGCGGCGGCGTCAAGCAACAACAAATATTCGTAAATAGTTGTTTAGGTCACAGATCCGCTCGGTTTGGCTTCGGCTTTGGTCGGCTTCTCGGTCCGGTCCGGTTCGCTATTTCAAACGAAATCGAGATTGCAGATCGATCCAAAGCTAGGGTTTTTGCTTTGTACCCTGGCAGCTGGGGTGTAATATGGTTCTGATGGGTTTGTGGGAAAGAATGTAACAGGTAGGGGCTCCTATTAATTATTGGTATAAGAATTAGATTTCATTTCAATTGGATGCGATTCAATTTCAAGAATAGGCAGTAAAACTTTATTTATTCTTATTTTCAGCATAGTTTTCATTGAAATTCAATCGTTTTCTCAAGTATCATTGGGGGGTATCCAATAGTTGGGAGTGCAACTTATATGCCAATTCTGAATTGTTTTGTCTCCGTTTTCGGTGACCCACGCGCAGCTGTTGAAATCAAGTTTAGGCAATGATCCGATATCTCTCGCCCCTCTCCCCCTTTGTTATCCACTGTTACGTCACTTGATTTGGCGCAAGTTTAGCACACGACCTGACTCTCCCTCTCCCTATCTGTCTCTTTGGGGTTGCTCGTCTCTGATCTTGGGACTTCGTCTGGCATTTTCGTTTAGCTTTTCAATGGAAACCCATAAACTCGAAACAATAGTAATGGCAATAGACTATAATAACCGTTGCCGTTTGCGGCTCCCAATCTCCCCCCACTGTCCACCTCCTCTGCTCTGACACATGTGCGCAAAATGTCGCTTTTATTTAATCATCTCTTATCTCATTTCGGCTGCTGTGGCTGCTGTTGTGGATTCTCCATATAAGGAATCTCGAAATTGTGCGTGGCTTTCGTGGTCTTTCGGGTGATCAATGATCACGATTCCCCAATTCATGGCCTAAGGCCATTTCGGGTTTTCGGTTGTTTTGTTTTTTATTGTCCAAAGAAAAGCGATATTAGCGAGACTTTAATGGGAACATTTGTGGTTTAGTTTTAATTTGAGCTTTGCGCTGGGGTTCACTGAACCTCACTTGATTGCAGTTAATTTTAGCACAAAGAAAAGTGGAGGAAAGACTTGGAATTGCGAATGCAATTAAACAAATCTTTGGAATTTTTGTCTTTAAATGAGGGTTTTTTTTTTTTGTTTTTTTGTGGAATGTTTAGTGATCAATTTTTATATTTTAGTAGTAAATTTTTTTTATATTTATCAACAGAAAAATCTTTAAGTGTAATATGTTTTCGAGATATTGCTTTTTGGAACAAATTGTTTTAAAATTTCATTGTTTAGAATGTAATTTTCCCTTCTGGAAAAAATTCTACAGAAATTTTGTATTTCTTTCCTACATTTTCTTGATTTTAGTTATGCATAAAAGTAAATGATACTTGGAGCCAGCTGCAGTACCTCCCCCAGCCATTTGTTATACCCTTACCTCACTCTCTCTCTCTGTCTTTCTCTTTCG